TTTGTACAGTAATAATATCTTTACTTGCACTACAGTAATTGTATATAAATTTTTTGTTAGAAAACAAACAACATATAATAATACGGATATTAATTTTATCACAAGAATAAGACATTGTGTCACAAAATAAAAATACATGCTGTGAATAAGGATTCTTTATGTGTTTGCCTTCGACCGGAATCGAACCGATGTCTAAAGATTACTCTGTTAGACTACCATTCAAAGGCTTCATTACATCTAATTTTAATATTAGAAATATAAACGCTGTTATGCACATCAAAGTATGGACCCATCATACTGGTGAAGAAATAATAAATGTGTGAACCTTTCACACCTGTGTATGAAATAATAAATGTGTGAACCTTTCACACCTGTGGATGAAATAATAAATGTGTGAACCTTTCACACCTGTGGATGAAATAAAAAATGTGTGAACCTTTCACACTTGAGGATGAAATAAATGTTCTAGGTGAAACGATACGTACAGGGAGGTCACATCACAGTACATAAGGTCACATTTTTATGTCAAATTGTGTTGAAACTTCTTGACTAAATATTTCAGAGCAGGTTCAAAAGTAAATTTCTAGTAGTGAATTTGAAATGCTAATTACATCCTATTTGCAGTACTTGACTGACACTTGGGTGTCATAAAACAAGTAGTAAGAAACTTAATTTAGCAAGTGTAAAAAAGTACTGTGTATCATGCATGAAAACTTGATGCACCAGTGCACCAATGTATCGTTTCAGCCCTAATAAATGTGTGAACCTTTCAAACTTCTGGCTTTAATAATAGATGTGTGTACCTTTCACACTGAGGAAATAATAAATGTGTGAACCAATCACACTTGCTAAAATGAATAAAACTATATGAAAATCTAAAAGGCACTCACTGTAAAGGACGATGAACTTGATAACCCTCAGCCTTTCTTCAGCCATCGGATGGTGCAGAGCTCAAGCAATTTTTAATGTTTTACAAATACTTCAGTACCTACCTCACGCTTTGTTACATCATGTTTTGGCCACAGATGAATCAAAATTCAAAATATGTGTATAGCAACGAAGAAAGGGACGGGGGCATTATGATTATTTAAGATACATTTTTGGGGACTTGTCATTTATTGGGAGGTGGGGGAGATAGGAGAAATTGTTACATTGATTGTGTGGGTGTTGGTGAGTTAAACGCGATGCAGTCCTTAGAGCGCTTCCAAGATACTATCTCTGCTTAAATTTACTATGTATTTTCGTATCGAAGAACGATGTATTATTGAATGATTGCCCAAATAATTATAGAATCTATAAACCGGAAGTTATCCCAACCGCATGTAAAAAGGTGTAATATTTTGCACACTGCCAGTGAGTCATTAATTCGAAGAATAAATTATTGTGACTGACACTTACCTTCCGTACAAGGTCCGTGGTCACCGCTCTTTCCCTTGTCAGTGCATCTCAAAGCGTCCTTAGCAATGGGGGCATGTTGTTTACGTGAACGAAAACTGAAGCACTTATGTTGTCGGCATTATCGCGTCGGTGCTTACGTTATTTGTTTAGAGATCTCAGTTGTCTAAACTAATGACTAATGTTCTACCAATGACCATGATACCAATATTGCACTGTGTAAAGTGACAAAATGGGGAATAGTTACTGTTACAATCTTATAAAATAACTGCTCAGTAAGAAAAGCCGAGAAATAGCAATATCAGAAACTTACCGTTCTATCAGATCGATTTTTCTTCCTGACACTCGAGCACCTCGTGCTTTGAGCTCAGTCTTCAGTTTGGGCAACTTCCAGCTTCCGTAATTCATGATAGAAATAGGCCTTCAAGTACTACCGGCTGTTTACAGAAAAGCAAGTGGGTCAATGTCGACTGAAGTTTATATATTCCCGCGGATACTACGATGAATGTTGGACCGTAACTACCGCAGCGCCGCCAAGCGGGCAAGGGGGCGCAACTCCAGGAATGTTTGCCATTGGATATGGAATATGGAGAAAGAACATCCACCAGTGTAACCTTAAAATGCTGAAACGTCGGTGTTGGAATACTGCTCTTCACAAAGGGGAAGTTCACTTTTGGAAAGTTGGAAAGTTGGAATCACCCCCGTTGTGAAACAGTCTTGTGGAGTTATACTGAATAACAAAAGATCTTGTGACATTGAATAGTGAGTGAGTTGTGTTTTACGCCGCATTTAACAGTTCCAGTTATATCACGGCGTGTCAGCTTCATGTGGGAGGAAAGCCCGATGTGATGCAGGTCTTCGGTGAAACCAACGAGCACGGGTATGGTGCTGACAAACCAAGAAACATAATCGGGGCGAACCGGGTTTCGAACCCACAACTCTGCGCAGCGAATCGCGGCTCCTTAGACGACTGGGCCACCCGTGCTCCCTTCAATTGAATACGATTTAATGCAAAGTTATGTTTTTTACCAAATCTGAAACAATTTCGGTTTCCAACAGATAAAAGACTCCTGTAAGAATTCAAATGGTTTAATTTGCCATACTGACTTCAGAAAATGCGTGATTTCATAAAAAAAAAACATGAACATGCCAAAATGTCAACTTACACATCAATAGCGTGTGTGTCCACCTCTGGTGGCGATGCAAGCAACACATCTTTGTCTCTTGGAAGTCCTGTGGGATATCTGTCCATGTTTGCTGGAATATGTTCCTGGAGCGTCTGTGGAACACGTGGTTGACGTTGAAGGCGCCGATCCAGGGGATGACATACACGTTGTTTTGTTGAACAGAATATCGAACAAGTCGAGCAATTTGAGGCCGGGCCTTGTCACGAGGAAAGGTAATGCCTGGGCCATGACGACGCAAAAGCGGTAGAACAACAGGGCCGATGATCTCGTCGGAGAAAGTCAGTGTTTGACCCACAGTCTGGGGAAGGTTTTTGCGAATTGTGAATTTGGGGAGGCAACAAAAGACATCATAGCCGGGGGGTTCAAAATCAGTACCTGGTGTGGCCACCACGGGCGTTGACTATAGCCACACTTCTCTTGTACATGCAGTGGACTAGCCTGTTGATGAAGGCCATTAATATGGGGATATGGGCCCATATCCTCAGGAACGCTACCCGCAGTTCTGCTGCAGTTGTCGGCCTTAGGCGTACGTCGTTGGGTCGGCGTTGGATCTCATCCCACAAGAGTTCAATGGGATTCTAATCCGGACTGAGGGCAGGCCAAGGCATGATTTGGATGTTGTGCTGCTGGAGGAAGTCCCTGGTGACTCTGGAAGTGTGGGGACGGACGTTGTCTCGCTGAAAGGTGTGGTTTTGATGACGGGCAAAAAAAGTTCAGTCCGATTCCACCCAAACCATGATGCTTGGGCCGCCCCACGGGTCTCGTTCCATAACACAAGCATCAGCATAACGTTAGCCCCTCTTTCGCCAGACCCTGACTCTGCCATCCACCGTTGAAACACAGTAGCGACTTTCATTAGTGAAGATGATTCTTCTCCATTGCTGTTGACGCCAATTTTGATGCTGCCTGGCCCAATGCAGTCGGGCCTGTCGGTGACGATCTCTCAGGATGGGTACACGAGCAGGACGGTGGCACGAGATGTTGTTGGCAGTTAGATGACGCCGGACTGTACGATCACTGATGGCACGCTGGTGGTTGCCATAGGTTTGCCGAGCTGTTTCAGTGGCCTTTCGGAATCGATTCTGCAGATTTTGGCGTATCTTCTCTGGGAATAGTGACTCAAGGACGACCACTACGCGGTCGGTCGTCGGTCGTCGGTGGTGATGTTTTGGCGATGTTGCAAACGATATATCGTTCTGACGTTGACATTGAATGCATGTGCAACGATCTGTGCACTCTGGCCTGCTTGCAGTCTTCCGATCGCTTGTTGCCTCTCATTTCCTGATAATCTTGGCATAGCTGATTAATCGAAATAACGAAAGCCAGCTGAACAGTTTTGATTTTCTTTTATACCCATACCATCCACGATATGCACGTGCATCATGTTTTTGACAAGATTTTTCCGCAACTGAGTCCCATTGCACTTTTGTAGGCTGCGTTTGGGCAAAGCACTCCATTTTACACTCAATTGTTAAATGGACTTTAAGGCAACAAAAAGAAGCAGTAGAACGATAAATGAGTTTATTGACCACAGAACATGTCACTGCCAGTGTCTGTTAAGTTTTATCAGTATTTTCAGAAGTGACGTTTCTTTTGCCTTTCAGTATACATATTCAATGTCTTCGAAGTAGTAACATCAAAAAGAATAACTTACAATTTACGCTGTCAAGATATCACACAAGTTACATGATGACCAGTTATCAAATATCATGACGACAAGCTGATAAAGTGAGAAGAATTTCCTTGCCCAAAGAGGCACCACATGTGCATGTGCTTCAGCGTTGGGCAGGACCGAAGCCCTAGAAACTCTAAGGAGCCAAGCAGCCGAACACAGTCACCCATCCAAGGACTCCCCGTGACTAACGTGACCTGTGGTTTAACGCCGCTTTGAACTAAATTACAGTTATTTTACAGCGTGTCAGGAAATCCCTGAGTGTATGGTTCTGGGGTTCAATTCCACGATCACAGTTTTTTGGTACTTCTACATTTGTAAGGGGGCAGTCGGGTAGACTCGTGGCTGAAGGGTTCGCTCGTCACGCTGAAGGCCCGGGTTCGATTCCCGACATGGGTACAATGTATGAAGCCCATTTTTGGTGTCCCCCCGCCGTGATATTGCTGGAATATTGCTAAAAGCAACGTAAAACCTTACGCATTCACTCACTCACATTTGTAAAAGACGCAAACGACAGGGCCGTTCTGAGACCAGAATTAAATTGAATAGAAATAGCAACGTTGTTTCTTCCTGTGAAGACACATTTGGTTTATGAAAAACGACACAGACAATAACGATATATGAACTATATTGTTGTAAGGGCGACAATCTGACAACGCGACAGTGTCCCTTCTAGGATTCAATACATAGGAGGTAGCTGCACACATGATAAATAGATGAACAATATGTAATAGTTTACTACCTACCTGTAGGGAACTCTGCAGGTTCCAGTGTGATGACGTTGTGTACTGCAGTATCTGGGATACCATTCGGCCTCTCTGTTGGGGAGAACGTGACTGATCTGACCATTCCTGCCACATTGATAGTATTCTGCAGATGTTGTACGTTTGCTTGAACAAAGCTGACTCCAGTCCTGTCAAAGGGTATTTCCTGTGGTGACTCCTTCAACATGGAGTTCAAAGATGCCTCAGATGATCCCATTACTTGAAGATCTTCTACCTTGTCAGCTTTGTTGCGCATCTGTCGCATGTATTCGGAAGAAGATTTCACTTTAGTCAGCAGTAGTCTTGTCGAATCCAAGGCCTCCTCTGTAACCTTCAGATTCTCAGCAGATTTCCCCTCAACATCTGATAGAAGGATTGTTCTTCTTTGATTCAGCCTATCCTTCAGGTTGTCAAAGATTTTATTGATATCATCTCTTGCTACCTTCATTGACAATTTGATGTTCTCTATCTTCTTTTGAAGGGCTGACTCCGTTTCGCTCAGTCTCTTTGTCTTCTCTTCTATCTTTCCTAAAACATCATTTATGGACTTCGCCTTTCCTTGGTGTGCTTCATTCACGGACACGACGTTGTGTCCCTTCCCTTCTTTGTGATCTACTACAGTGCAGGACACACAGACGACTTTGTCACAAGTGTAGCAGTAGAACTGTACAGGTTGTTGGTGCTGACTGCACTGATGTAGACGACGAAAACTCTGTAGAGGTCGGCCCTTCATTTCATCAAATGTATTTATAGTGTGGGTCTTTGATACCGTATTCCGTTTATGGGCACTTAAGCAAATGGAACATAAAAATGTTCCACAGTTGTCACACTGAGCTACAGCTGTTTCCTTGTCAGGGCAATCTGTACATGGAAGATGGAGACCTTTCTGGATCTTGAGGTAGTCCAGAGTCTTCAGGATGACAGTCTCTTTGGGCAGAGATTTCAGCCCACCAGGCAGATTATGTCGCCGTCGACACATGGGGCAGGATAGGGTTGCAGCACCTCCACTGTAGCTTTCCAGACAGGGCTGACATATGGACTGTACACAACATGGCATACGACGAGGAATTCGTGTTGCGTCATCAAAGTGTTCTATACATATTGGGCACTCTGTCAGAAGATCCTTGATCGCAGCAACTGAGACAAGATCCGACATGATGTCTGGCAAAAGACAATCATCACGACCATGTTAAATTAAATGGAATCAATTTCTTTCATTGTGATGGATTTAAACATATATTATGAATTTGAAAGTGTCGTGAGACAGTGCTTATATATGTGATCAATTTCCCGAAGCATACATGTAGACTCCCACCTACACATACGCATCTCATCACTTCACACGAATGTTACAGACTAGGATTCAGAATTCCCCTCCTCATATACATGTTTCTCTTTCGGGTATATCACTTTTGCTATGTGTAAAGCGATGTATTATTTTAACCCATGTGAGAGTGATGTTTGGCTTACTCTGCTCACTGTAGTTCAAGTATTTACCGACATGTCAGCTTAATTTGGGAGGAAAGCTCGAAGTAACGTACCCAATAGAGAAACTCACGTGCATGAAAGGGGTGCTGACAAACTTAGAATCATAACAGGAGCAAATATTGGATTCGAACCGCCGATCCTGGTTTCAGCAATGTGGAGAGCTGAGCAGCCTGTGTCCCATATCACCTCGGGAATAACAATAGCAAAGGTCGAACCACAAGTACATGTATGGAGGACACGGGTGGCCCAGTCGTCTAAGGCACCGGTTTTCACTGTACACAGTTGTGTCCCTTAGTCATGATCGTTTTTTTCGAATCCCGCTTCGCCCTGATTATGTTTTTAGGTATGCCAGCAACATACCCGTGTTCGTGGGTTTCCTCCCACATTAAGCAGACACGTCGTGATATAAATGGAATACTGTTCGGTGGCATGAACTCGTACATATATGAGTTTGAGTGTACTCAATGAATGTTCATGCACAGAAGCTCCTTTCATAAAAGAAATACTCCATGCCATAGAAAGGTAGGGCAGTACACTGCTTACATACAGCATGTCGTATAGTGAAGTAGTGTGTACTTAACCAAGTGGGCAGGTCTTACACAAATGCTTAAATTTGAAAAAGAAGCTTCACTGAATGTTCCCATCATGTGGTTTATCAAAATGTCAGAAAGATTTGTTATATCCGTGTGTTGATGTCAACGGGTCTTAAAACCAGTCTAGTCACGGTCTAGTGAACGTAACATTCACCTCTCTCTTAATTGCCCTTTGCGTCGTCACCTCTCGGCAAACTCCGGCGGATGATAGAAGTATGCGATTTAAACCACTAGAAATTAAAATTTACAGGTCACTGATTCCCTGACAATGAACGTAAAGACACCGGAGTATGGCATCCGCCGGACTTAACTTAAGGATTGAAGTTGTATTTGTTGACGTTGATCAGCTGATGAAGATAAAGCAAATTCCGTGATCATTCAATCGATGTTGCTCTCAGTTTTCCCTAATTATTTTTTAATGTTATTTTTTTACATTGAGGAATTCCCCTAAAGTAGTTCTGTATGTCTCCGCGCGATTGACAACGTAATCATGTGACATACTGACGTTCGTCGGGAAATGAACGACAGTAAGCTTGGTAGTGTTCACCTTGGCGAAGTCACCCGCTACTGTCAATATTAAAGGGTGGCGACACCGGGCATATTAGGGAAAGGGAAGCTGTTTGTCGAACGGTGACGACGCAGTAAATCTCAAGAATGTGACCAGACTGGTTTTACGACCCGGTGACAGTTGCCATCAACATGGACAGGCAGCACTAACAACACTCATCAAGTGACATTGTGAAACATATGTAACCTTAATTTTATATTCTGTATAAAAATGGGTACAGCGACATTTCATGCTTCTTGCGTCTGTCATTGAGTAACAAATGTTACGCGACCTATATCATTCAGATGTTGAAAACAAGCAGGAAGTAACTCGACATTCACATCAACTTTATATAATCACTACTCCAACATAAACGCTGCTGCATTACATACGTTCTGTGATCCTGACACAGCAACACGTCATAAACAACAGACTGATTAACTTTCTTACCTTAATTAAGAGAAATGACACAGAGAGATGTACAGAAGGCGTCTACATACACGTACACAGACACCACTCCACCTAAGCCTTTCTGCACACGCGCAGTTGCTACTTTCGTTATTATAACAACTTGAAAGACATGACTACCTCGTATGGTGTGTGCAGTCTCGTACAATGGTAAATAGGTCAGTTGTAAACAGTGTACTTCGATCACACCTTGTGATGTGTCGTGGATGCAACCAGGCACGTATATGCACAGACAAAACAAAACTCTTGTAGACGAATATGTGCGCAGCTGCAGCAAATTGATAAATGAATTCATATTACCAGTGTCAGTGGAAACTCGAGTTTTTACATGGCATTTTTCATGTAACACCTCATATCAAACCGAGACCCCCATGCCATCCCGAGGGCCAAATGAATGGTGGTCGATATATATGATACAATAACCTTTTTATCATATACCATAAAATAATGTATCCATTCATAAAGATCCATAATATTTTCACCTTGTCGAGAAGACGCTGTCATGGGAATATTAGCCGAGCAGACGACGCACCAACTCCAATCGGGCTGATATCGATTGCCCATTCTAAGTGCACTGACAAGGCATAACAGCCCGGCAGGGATGTAACACGGGTCTGGTTATTGTGATACCCCCCTGTGATATGACCATCTCCATATTGGCTCACAGGGGTGTAATAACCCGGCCGTGCTGATATAACGATCGAAATCAGCCCGACTTATGTCCCTTAGTGCGCCGCCTGCTCGTTTGTGGACAGTAATATAATGTGTTGCATTCACTGGCAAACAGATACATTTTACAATGTTATGCCATGGTATATGATAAAAAGGCCATATCAACCCTCGACCCCCATATCAGCCATCTGGCCTTCGGCCCTCGAGCTGATATGAGGGTTGGGGTTTGATATGAAAACTGCCATATTATAACCTCTAAATATCACAGTGAGTTAAATCAAAAACTGTATAATCTGAATAAGTCATATCTGTCTTGGTTTATCAATCTATGTTTGTATTTTTTTAGTTAATTGGTGTAGTTATCGAAATTGGTGCTCAAGAAGAGGACATATATTTGCGATTTGCAATAATTGAACTTTAGGTTTTGTATATCTACCTTAGCCCAATGTCAGGGGTAATGTTGAATAACATACTGAGTTCGAGGAACACGTTCAAACCTATTAATTTGAATCTATCATATCTATCTAATTTTTTAATGATGGAACTGCTTTTTCTCCATATCATTTACCTAGATCACAATTTGACGAACAGCGTGTGTCGCATGCTGGATTCCAACCTGTAAGGTCCACAGCAAAGAACTGTTCTCAACTGTCAAGGCGACATGGAATTAACAATGGCATGTTTACTGACATCAAGACTTATAGTTAATCCGTTTATGAAGGTGTGTATTTGTGTTTAATTCAGTTCTGTACTTTGGCCGTACGTATCATTTTCTCAGCATTTCGTTAAAATTACCCTTTTCATGATCAGGGTTATGTTTGCTTAGAATAATGATAATTGGGCTCTATTATCGCCCATCAACATAACGACATAATACGAATATGTAAACAACATATATGTTGACGTTCTTTTCTGATTAGGTGTAATTATACACAGGGAACTTGTGTACTGAACTACATCATCTGATGTAGGCAATACTGGATTTTCTGCTCCGGTCGATGATTGTGACAAAGGACACGCTTACGAACAAAATGACTAATGTGAAACTCATAGTCGAGTGACCTAGAGTAAGTATACAGTATAAGTATACAGAATCTACATCTCCCTGCTGGTGGGGCGATGGGGTAGCCTCGTAGTTAAATCGTTCGCTCATCACGCCGCAGGCCCGGGTTCGATTGCAAGCATGGGTACAATGTGTGAAGCCCATTTCTGGTGTCCCCCGCCGTGATATTGCTGAAATATTGCAAAAGCGGCGTTAAACCGTACTCCCTCAATCCCTGCTGGTTACTGACAGAGTAAAAAGAGTCAAGCAGAGTGCATGCGGGGTTGCAGTGTCGCTCGGGTAATATGAAGAATAACCAACTCGCAACTCGGAACTCACACCAAATGTCCTATTATGCTACATGCCGCACATAGCAACGTCACGTCATAGTTGATACGTCAAAGAATAGTTGCAGATATTTAAATATGATGTCATGCATTGTGATAGTGGTCAGACACAGTTTTATGTAGCGTCGTTCCGAGATATTTTTCCTAAGCTTATATATCCATGTGATACACGGAAACCTATATTTTTCTACATTTCACAAAAAGAATCGTGTGCCGTAGGATAATCTCTAAATCATTTGCAAATGCCTATAAATATTCTTATGTGAAACACTGATAATGTTGTTCTGCCTTCATTGAAAGGAGGTGGTCGGGTAGCCTTGTGGTCGTTCGCTCGTCACGCCGAAGACCCGGTTCGATTCCCGCTATGGGTACAATGTGTAAACCCATTTCTGGTGTCCACGCCGTGATATTCCTGGTATATTGCTAAAAGCGGCTTAAAACCATACTCACTCACTCACTCTTAAATTTAAACTGTCAACCTAGCAGTACTGTAAAGATATATTAAGAAATATCAGCATTGCATATTTAGCGACAAAAGCCTTTACAGAATCAAAAGAAATCTCTGCTTAAAGGCAAAGTCTGTTGTACGATTCCGACTATATCATGAGCAGGTGTCTATGAATCACCATCACTTAGTGATGATACGAAGTGTACACGTAAGGTAAGAGCATCCAGGTCCACCAGTGGCACCCGTCACAAACACATGCAAAAGTAAGTCAAGAGTTCACCTGCACAAACGCGGGAACATAAAGAAAAGTTAAAACAAGGAATTACATCGCCATCATTTTCTTCACGTGTCCTTCCACATCGGACATAAAAAATAGTAGAGTTGAATTTAAGATACAATATGGTTCGAGCCTTTCGGGTGAGCAAGGAAGGATGGGATGCACACAATGGTCGCTGAGATCTGTACGGGAGGAATGATCACGAACTCTTTATTCTTTCACAATGGACGTCGGGTCCTGGAGACCATCCCCTCTGATGATGTTTTACGCGTTTATTCACCGTCTAGTCATTTCCCTTCAGAGATAACAACTGGGTCATTCCTTCTGATAGTGTAAGGTTTTGACCTGATATTAGTTCACACGTCATGTTTGAATCTTGGGATGCATCTAGATACACCATGACCCAGAATGTTCTTTCACACACAGTGTCAGTCACAGACTGAATCACTGTAGTGTTGCCAATGTCAACAACATAAATCTTACTGCTCCTACCGCCCAGTAGAGTGTCTAGATGTAAGGCACCTGCCTTACCAATTTGATTGCAAACAATAGGTATATCAGAGAGGAGTTTGCCATCAAACCTCACCCAGAGACAAAGCTGGTGCTTATGCTTTGGACATCCTACGATACGTACACTCAGTCCAGTTGATTGGTTCCAGCAAGTATCTTCGGGGTTGGCAATCATTGCTGTCTCAAACACCATGCTTCCTATCTCAGTGACCCTTTTTTCAAAGAGAAGCTGACTTTCACCAGAAACATCTCTCGGCTTCCACCTCTGATAACCAAAGGTCTTGATGTCAACAGACGTCTCCACGACCTTTTTCGACATTCTATGTCTTTGGGCGGAGTCTTGGGCTTTGCATTTGTTACCAAAGTATCAGATACAGTGATGTCGTCACTCGCTGTACTGCAGTCCCATTCAAGGTGCGGACCTAGGGAGGAAACAAGAGACGAACTAATAACACAAAACACATTCATTGTAAGTCTCATTCACAAATACACATTATTGAATCAGTATAACATAACACCCATTCAAGTTGACAGCCGCCTCATAACAGAGAATGTTTTTATTAAAATGATACAAGACGAAATATGTATTTTCCACCTCCCATGTATTATTCCTTCAAGTAAAAAAAGTGACATTTCATTTCAGCGAAATATATAGTACAAGACAAAGCAAATCATATGAAGAGTTATATGGGTTTTTTTTAATGACCTTCATCTATCCATCGAACTTCCACGACTATCTGTAGCTTGGCATTTTTTGTCTGTTTGTTATTTAACGCCGCCAGTTATATGAAGGCGGTCTGTAAATATTCGCGTTTGGACCAGCATCGATCTGCGCAATTGGGATATTATGACAAACAGAAAACAAGTCAGCGAGCCTGACTACCCGATCTCGTTAGTCGCCTCTTACGGCAAGCATCTGGTGCTTGTGAAACCGATGAGGATGCGTATGATGTAGACAAACAAAGAGTCATAGTCAAGGTTCAATTTTGATTCAAACCAATCATCTACAGACTTTGGCATAACCGTCTACGGAAATCCGCACAGGAGCCTTACATCACAGGTCAAGCGGTGCCCCTTATGTTGATGAGCACATGAGTAAGATAAGTTGGAGCTTAAACACATGACATCTCACATGAAATGGCTTCATCTCCGCTGGAAATCGTCTTGTCCACATCAGCGAATTAAACAGATTACAATGTAACTAAGAAATGAAATAGACCAACTGTCGAACTAAAGATTATGATATACCTTTATCTATTTAAAACTAAATGTTAGTTTCACTACAACATACCCAAACACACTATAATAATGAATATATCCAACCGTTTACATTTAGTTATAAACTTAAGTCATTATAAGCAGACGTGGGACAGTAGTCATCACAAACTGTCGAACCACAGCTACCTCATGTCGACAATAACATTTTATAGATATTTTTACATACATGTACATAATAAAAATTAATTTACCCTTTTGAAATTCTGCAGGTGTCAGTGTGATGGCAATGTATCTGTCAGCCCCTGGTACATATCCCGGCCTCTGTGTTGGGAAGTACGTGACTGACCTTATCAGTCCTGCTCCCTGGATTGCGGAGGAAAGGTGGGTCAGGTTGGCAGGTACAAAGCCTACGCCTGTCCTCGTATATTGTTTCTCAATGTGAGACTCCTGCAACATCCTTTTGAAAGAAGAAGCCGATGATGTCGTAACTTGTAGATCTTCTGTCTGGTCAGCTCTACTCCTCATCTGCTGTGTGGTTGTCCAAAGAAGACGTTACCTTGTTTAGCAGTTGTTTAGTTGACTCTACGGCC